CGAATTTAAGAGAAAAGACCATATATATAGAAGGGGAGTTAAATATCTGGACTTTGATTATAATAAGAAAGGACAAGAGGACGATGAAGAAAGTGACATAGTAGACCGAGAAGACCATGTTACACAATATCTGTCAGATTTACTTGTGAATACAGATAGCGAAATAACCAGTTTACAGGTATTTATGTTTGAGAAGACTAAAGGTCGGTGGATATCTGACCTAAGATCCGTCGACGTATTAACGTATGCATTAATTATACTCGAAGGAGTGGCGGACCATACTGAACGTCATATTATATGTCAGTTCTGATGATACGCGACCGATTTTCTGTTAGATTTGCATTGACCAGCGCGTTTGTACAAGGCACGGTCTTGCCGTGGTCTTCTAAGGTGTGGTGGGTAAAGGTGTGGTGTGTACATGAAACGACTTCTACTGTTTTTCTATAGGAAAATGTATTACGCACTGAACTGAAAACTGAAAAACACGGTAAAAAGACATACAAACGCACTTATTCCGCGTTTAACACTATTTAGAATTAATGGTAAAAGAAAATATAGTGTAGGTATCGAACGTTATTGTGGCGATTTGCTACACTAGCGCCAATTGGTTGTATAGCTCAATATTGTGTGGTTATTGAATGAACAAATTGATATCGAGCAAGTATTGAGTATGTTTTAATAGAACGAGCTCACATTTGCTCTAAAATTGATATCGTCGTTGGTTTGGATTGAAATTTATGAGGTTGCAAGAGTAAGCCTGTAGGTCAAAGAAAGGTCGAAATCGCGTTCGGGTTCGCGTTTCGGGCGTTTGGGAATTCAGAAAATCGAAGACGGAAAACGAATGTGTGCGGGCAGTATAAGTCTGATGATGGTGAAGTTTGAAATGATGAAAACTATTTATGCGTTTGTCATTTTCAGGGCAGTGATGTTGAACCACAGGAAGATTTAGGGTGAGTAATAAAAAAAAGTAGAGTTTAAGTAAGTATAATGCGCGGCACGAAGGTTTTATTAAAATGTCGACTGTGCACTAATCTGATCACAATGGAGATGCTTAATGGAAATTTTTGAAATGCACGTTTTGAGCAATGGACGAATTATCTAAGATGTTCGGTCTCTAAATTTTTGCAAGAGCTGGTTATTGATATGGGTGACAATTTTTTTTTTATGTTGAGTTCCTTCGTGCTTCGGTAGGCACTTTGGTCTCGACTGCATTTGTAGTCCTTAACACCTAACAATCCGCATTTGCCCCACGTATTGGGCCCAGTGCGGATTGGTGGGTGTTAACAGTCGTTAATCCCCACCAATCCGCACTGGGCCTCTTTTATTGTCATAAAAGAGAATGGGACATTCATTCTCTTTTTTCGATTAGATTCCATCCATAGATCGTAGCTGTGAGGATTTTGAATGGCTAATGATGATGGCTGCTATAAGCGATCAAGTTTGCTGTCAAGTCTTCGACTATGCTGTGCTGTCAAACAGCGCTGTCATAGTAATAGAGTTTCATTGAAATAAAACCTATATTAACTTTTAAAGTAGGTTTTGTTTAATTGAACCTCTATGTAAGTCATGTCATACGGCCCGCGGGCTATATCCGGCAGTTGGTCATATTATCCAGTACGCGAGCACAATATATCACAGAGTTTCTTTTTTTAGATTTTAGACTGCACATTAAGCTTCTACGGAAGTTTTAAAATGCGCGCGTTTATTATAAGTAATTTCAAGAGTAATACGCGTCTAGATTGGTTAGTGTTAATTATTTATACTTTTCTAATACTAATTCAGCATTTTTTTTTATTTGAATCTGGCCCGCTTACACATTGTAACTTTTGACATTCCATGTATGAAGCTGATGGACTGGATTATGTTTATCAGCCTTAAGATATAGGGTGGGTGCACCAGTCTCACACCAGGAACCAGATATACAATTCCAATTATCAAATCTAAATAACAAAGTTATTTGCATTTCCCACTATTTTTTACTTAAATGTTTATGCTACGAAGTATTAATTAATTTCTACCAACTATGTAATCATAAGTTAAAGCGATATACATGCCATTTACAACCTTGTCATAGGGATATGGCGAATTGCAACATCCTTTATTTATATAAAAATTTAATAGCAATTAGGAAAATTTGAATGAGCCACATGATTACATGGTAAGTAAGGAGTACAATGATTATTTCTCGCAACGGTCATTGCAGACGTCTTGAAGTCTTTGGGTTATTACGATAATTGAGTCACATCATCGAAATTAGTGTCAAAATATTTCTGAATCGACACCAGTATTACACCAGTAGTAATATAATTATGTTTAATGACTTTTTATCTTTATCTATTTTATTTACTATATTACATTATACAGATTTATCTATTTACTTCTCCATCTTGCACCCCCCTCTTTTTATTATATAGTTCATGTTCTTTGCCTCGGGCTGCCTGGAAGAGATTGCTACGTAGCAATAAGGTCGCCCTTTATAATCTTTCTCTTTTATTTTATATTATTATTATTATTCCTGTATCCATAATTTACTCTTCCCGACCCCTCGACGATTCGAGGGGTGGGAGGATTCCCCCCATTATTAATACTGGTGCACTCACCCTATTATTTTTTTTCGGTATTTGTACTTTATTTCTAAGTCCAAATCAATTATCAAATGTATATAATATTATTAATGATGTTTATTAATTTCAGGTCGTTAAAAATCAACGAGGATAGATTTTTTTTATATTTAACTGAAGCGGAGGGCATACAAGAGATCGACAGTGTATTATCACTACCAGCACAATCTATTATAAGCGAAAGCGATTTGTATAGAAGATCATATACTTAACTATTAAATATTTTATATCGATAATACTTCCTTTTATTCATCATCACCAGGCTCATGCCTTCTTTATGGATGGTTAACACGGATGGGCCATGATCCACGCTGGCCCAATGCAGATTGTAGGGTATTAACGACTGCAAATGCAGCTGAGGTCAACTTAAAGTGCTTTCCTAAGCACAGAGTAGCTCGAGGTAATAATTTTTCGGTCACCCATCCCGTGACCGACCCTTGCGTAAGTTGCTTAACAGCAACGATCACGAATTACGCTTATCCACACATCACCGAGCTACTGAATATATTATTGATTAAATAGGTTACTTTAATGAGTTGAGGTCAGTATGTATAAAATGTAATGTTAATTCAACATCTTAAAATTTTCCAAATCGGAGACCTTCCATTTGTTTGCGTATACTATTGGATGTGTAACACGAATACGTGCAATTGGACATTATACAGTGTACGTCATAAGTGACAAGCGTTATATATAATACGGGTGTAGAGAGTAAAAGAAAATATTTTTTTTTACTGGTAATGTTTAATGTACTATTGCCGATAATCACACTTTTATACTTATTATATTTATAATATTGCTTAAATTAATGATGAAAAAACAAATATTTTATAATCATATCAGAACTTAAAGAATTAAATCTTATGCATTCATAGAATGAAATTAGTTTAAGAAAGGAGTGACGTGATAGTGACGCCATTAGAGAAGTTTTAGCGGGAAATTTTGAATATTAAATTTATTTTTAGATTTTGAACTTATTATATGAATGATACTTTTGTATCTATATTTCATGTATATCTATAAAATAAAAATATAAAAAAGTTGTCTCCATCCTTATTCTGATAAATGCTATCATTTGTTACAAACAACATTTAGTTGTTTGTTATCCCGGAACTCGAGAATTTTACACTAGAATTTTCTAACAATTCTTTTCACTACCGACAAAGACTGAATACTGGTCTTATTTTTTCTATTTGTTTTTAAAAACGTGGCCAGTTAAAATAAAAGGGTAGTATGTATATATAAACTTTTTGGTAAAATCATAATAGTTTTCTAATGAATATATCTGTAATATTACCCAAATTTATTCTTTATGTGGTTACCTACGTTAACTAACCAGTCAGTATTAAAACACATAATAGCATGCATTTAGAATTTTACATAGAAATTTGGTAACTTTATGTGCGCATATATAATTATATTTATCTTAGAAATAAAAAAAAAATAGTCTACATACAATTTCTTATGACGATTGGATGTTAGAAGAACAGATTGTATTTTAATTTCCTCACTCCTGACTCTTAGTATTCTCTGCCTACTTTGATCCACCGTGAAGTCAACCGTTATGGACCATTTACACGAGTCAGTAACCAAGCCAGTTCAGTATTATAAAATAAAAAAAAAAACATTCTATTTCATTGGGCTAGCTTGACTACCGGCTCGAAGACAGCCCAATAACTCTAGAGTTATTGGTAAATGGTCCATAACTCTAGAGTTATTGGGCTGTCTTCGAGCCGGTAGTCAAGCTAGCCCAATGAAATAGAATGTTTTTTTTTTTATTTTATAATATAGCTATGGCTAGCCATAGGATATGATATTTTAGTAGAGTTAAAGCGCTATTTCGTTTTACTATTTTTATATGTAGGTAAGTACTTTAATAACGACGAACTAATGATAAAGAATGATGTATTGATTTGACAGCAATGTTTCCAACTTAGTAATTTATCCCAAATTTATCCACAAAAGACATGCCTAAACGAAATATCATCATTATATTCGTAGAGTCGTATCCTTTGGCTAGGTCATGGCTTAGTTAGGCGGTTGCGCCCTTGGACTGGATTACTAAATTGGCTTGGCTACTGGCTTCATGTAAATGGTCCCTAAAAGTTCCTATTTTAAGAAACTTTTTTCATCTCCATTAACGCCAGATTTGTCAGATGTTCTCACTTTAAAAGGGAAGTACCTACTCAAGTTTTTTTTTTTTAATTTTACTTATCACAATTGTCTTTTATTTTCAATACAGCGGCTTATTAATGAGTTTTCTTTAAAAAATATTTTATTCATTAGAATGTTAGTTTTTAGGGGGTTCCTACTGTACATAAACAATTAATAAAAAATAAAAATATATGTTAGAGCCTGATCTTTCTCTTGATAGAGATCATGTTGATCCTCCATGGTGAGTTAAAGAAAACACGTCTTACAAGTTAACTCTTTAGTTTATTCGGCGCTTGACGGAGCAAGAATGGGGCGCTACCACTGAGTGCGGCTCTTTTTATTAAGAATCCCCACCAGTGATGTCGCCCTTCCACAAAAGTAACTTAATTTTAATTAACTCTAGATAAAATTAAAAAAAAACCAATCGATAAATAATCCTTAATTAAATAAAGTTAATAAGTGATAATCATAATATTTTAAACAATTAACAATCATTTTAAACATCAACTTCACTTAAAGTCATAAACACGTGGTAACAGTCCCAGACCGGAAATACTTTATAATATTAAAGACATTGACAAAACAATAACAAAAATATCTTAATAATGGAATCTAATCTTATTTAATACTCACATTATTTTTTTAACTCTTAAACTCTTTTTTAATTATTAACTTATATTTCTTAAACCATTAAATAGATAATAATAATCAAAAATAAAATATATATTTTCTTTAAAATCACCGCCTTTGTCGTTTTAGCGAAATTCGCTATACTTCTCGAACTTCGCTTCAGTGAAATATTAATCTGCAGAGCGAGTTTATTCTGAGTGCGACATGGATTTCGGCGAAGTCGCTCTAGGATGATTTTGATGTTCGCAGGTGTACCACAGAGCGTAGCTGACCACTCCTTAGGCGATTTTGCAGAGAACTTGTTTCTTTGTACCGCTGTATACAGGAAAACTTTTCCGCTCGCGGAAAATCTGCATCAGTTTTTTTTCCGCCTTGAATAGCGAAATGACAGTTGCACGTAATTGTTTCGTTCCTTCCATCACGAGAAAATATAAACAAATGAATTTGCGATACAAATATTCCAAATTCAAAATCGGTAAAAAACAAATAATAGCCAGTAATATTTTATTAATTTTTTTCAGAAAAAAGTTTGTCTCAAATCTTATGAACACATATTCTTATTTATGTTACCTATGTTTGTGTAATTATGTAAGTTTTTATTTTCCAGTAGTTATATTAATTTACATTTTAATTTAATCAGGAAATACACACCTCACAACTTCTGTTTCTGTTTTCGATTTCAATTTGCCCTTGTATTATTGTTTATGTAAAATTGTGTATGTGCATAATGAATAAATAAATAGTTATTTATTTAAGATTAAGATTACCTTACGCCGAAGAGTTCTTCGGCGTAAGGTAATCTTTTTTCAGTTATACATAGACACTAGACTCAATTACGTCGAGTAGTTTATACGAGTAGGTAATTGTTTTTACTGACCAACATAGTTGTAAATGGTCAGTTAGAAACAATTACTATACTTTTAATATTACACCACGCACCGAGGTCTCGAGGTCAGATCGCTTGTATTGCGATTCATAGATCGTCGGGGTCAATATCAGTCGTGATCTGAATACGTCCCTGCCTATAGAAACGTAGGGAATGATTCTAAAACTATATTGGTCGAATAAATCTGGGGTCTATTTCGTATCCGCTAAGAAATGTCTAGAAAAGTTTAGAAGGGAATTATATAAAGCACAAACAAACAAAATAATTTTTAACTAGCGTCAATGAAAATAAAAATCTCATTTTAGCTGAAATTTTTAAATTGAGTTGCATAACAATGATTGCTGTCGAGCGAGATTGCCATTTTTAATTTGTGTTTTGTTGTCTTATGTTCCTGTTAGTATGCTATATTTTTTTAATTTTATTCTAGCTTGGCATACAGAAGGATTTGAATAACTATAAAATTTTAAAAGTCTTTGACTTCTAATAGATTTTCTTGTAATCGTAATGAACTGTATTATGTATTCTTTTCAATAAGTAATAATTCTTAGTTTCGGAGATCGGTGATCTCAAATATATTTATCTGACTTTGATTCAAAAGTGTATTCAAAAGTGTAATTTATGTATGTTGAAACTTTTCCATTTAATATTTCGTAATACGTTTTGTAAAAGTATTTATTTTTATTTAGTTAGACCCCGAAACAGGCCATTCTAAATTAACTAATATACGGTATACAGCCATCTTTGGTTACCAATGTTCATATGTGTTCCAAGTTTCGATTCAATAGTCCTGTAGTTTTGGAGACAATGGGTTGTGACAGACCACCGAATTATCCTTTTGATTTCCGTTTTTCGTTTTAGTATGGAACCCTTAAAATTATGTTATCGATGAGACTGAATGTTTTATTTTTACATGATTTTTTCATAAAGTAGAGCAATTATTATTCTTTTGTATTAAAAAGAGTATGTTCCTAGTACTTTCTTTAAAAACATAAAAAAATGCAAATTAGTAAGGTCACACCTCGTTTGTCGTAAAAAATACAAATAATAAGTTTTTAAAACTTGAAGTCTGGCGCCTAACCTACAGAAAACCTCCGCCCGATTTTAAAACATTTTCTTGAATAAGACGCTTTAATTTATTTTTCACTTTTTTATGTTTGACGTCGGTTCTATTCTTTCTGTCAGACAATTCAATAAAAAAGAAAAAGTACGACAATTCTTTTAACTTTCCATTAAATGAAAATGTTTTTTGATTATTTCCATTTACAATTCTATATTCATATTTATCTTAAAGAATAATGCTTAAAAATTTACGATATATCTTTCTTTACCATCCAACGACTCCATTTCTTGCTCATGCTATATTAATTCTCGTGAATTTTCCACATTCGCTCGCTCGATTGCCGTACAAAGACGTTATTTATGTCTGAGTGAGTTTAGGACGGTTATTTGATTCAAGCAAGTATGTACGAATATTGTTGATTTGTTTCATCACGAATTAATTCAAAATGTTTTTCCTTAAAAATTACGTGACTTTAAAATATTGCTAAGACGTTGGGGCGATTGCGGACATCAGAAGTGACTTCAGGTTCCTTGCTGCAAACGTTTCATTTTATATAACACCTTTTTTTACCAACGAGTAATGTAAACGCGTCTAATACGTGCGTAGTTTTGGTCAGGGTATCTATTACCAGTTAGGTTTTGCGTTGGAACAATAAATCAGTGGTGTAACGTAGACTTCTAGACGTGGATAAAGTGATTTCTTTTTTCAATGCCTGCACGCGAGATACGAGTTGAGTAAGAGTGGGAAAACAAGATCTCCCAAAATCACGTCAATTATAAAAATGTGCCCCTTTCCACTCATATTTTCTCATTTCGCATAATATATTGATTGTATTGATTATTTTTTATTGAATTACATTACATTAATATACGAAATATGGATAAATTATATTATTTATACAAATATTTTTGATTAAGAGGTCAATTTTCACCAGTGTTTTTGTGATATGAGAAAGTATGGGTTTTTGGATATATTTTTAGTAAACATGATTTTGCCAATTTAGATTTGTAACCCTTTAGATTACATTCGGTGAGATATGTGCTAAATATTTCACTCTCGGTGCTTATTTCTCAAGTTCATAATGCTACATGCTATAAGCTATTCGCCTCGTAGGCTATTCTGTTAATGATAGCCTCGATTTCAACGCCGAGCTCTGCCATAACATAGAGATTCAATTAAATAAACATATTTCAAAAGGTAATAAAGGTTTTATTTCACTCGAAGCTCTTTGCTCTATGTCGAGTTTAAGGCTGTTAACATATAGCACAAACCTAGCTGTTATCATATATTTGGCGCATATATAAGTAGGCTCATTTTGCTCTGGATGGAAAATAAGCTAACTAATATTGCTACTAAGGCTCCAATTCTAAGATACACCTACTCATTAGTAATAATAATCACCTAATAAATAAAAAGGAGGTAAATAAATAGAAATTGAAATTACTAACTTAAAATCCACACCTTATGGCATGTGTTGAAATTCAAATACAGCAGATATAGATAATTTATTCAATTTATACAAGTAGAAAATTCATAATAATATAGTACAGTGAAAAACAGATTCAGACCTCAAGAGGTATCAAGTTTCTTGCCCGGTTGGAAAAAAACGTAAATGCGGACTTGCGTTAACCACACAACGGATTTTGATGCGGTTTTCACTATCTTATAGGACTTTAATAGCTCATGAAGCCGAGTCAGGTCGCATTCTTAATATAATCATTAATTATCATTCCGAAGTATCAAAAGGCAAGTCAGCAAATATGAGACACTGAGTAATAAAACAGCGAATACTCATTGGATCAGATCCAGCACGGTTTGTTCCATTTGGCATGTATCCCGTGCAATATTTTCGAAGGTCGGAGCTGTATTTCTATGTTAGTGTTACTATAAATCGAAGAAATATAAGTATATTTTATATCTCTTTTGAATAAAGTATCAATTAAGTAAAGTCAACATTTTGTGAATTAGAGAAACATTTAGAAAACTGTTACTTTCGCCGTAAAGTCTTAAATGCCATAAACTCATTTTATTTAGATTTAGACTAATATCTAGATTTAGTGGTTCCGAATCCTCAAGAAAACTTAGTTAATCCCAAACTTCGGGTTTGGTTTAATAATAATGATAACTTTAGTATTAAGTGAGTCTTTATTATCATTTTTTTTCTGTTCTTTGTTTTAAATTCACTAATTTTTGATGTTAGGTTTACTTTCGGTAAAATCATGTTCCATATTGGGGTGGTTTCATTGCTCTATTAATAAAATATTGTCTTAACTTTTTGAATTTTTATTATCCCCAAACAGCAGGTTTAACAGGAATCGAAACAAATCGAACATAGAGATTGGGCCATGGACCACCACGCGGGCCCAGTGGATTGGTGGGTGTTAACGACTGCAGATGTAGATTTATTATCAGGCAACAGTCAAAAGCTACTATTGCACTTGTATCTATACTATCATCATCATCATCAGCCCTTTTACGTCCCCACTGCAGAGGCTCAGGCCTTCCTTATGGATGGTTAAGAAGGATAGGCCATGACCCTCCATTCTGGCCTAATGCGGATTAGAGGGTATTAACGACTGCAAATGCAGCCGGGAACGACGGCTTAACGTGCCTTCCGAAGCAAGGAGTAGCTCGAGATTATATTTTTTGGTCACCCATCCCGTGGCCGACCCTTGCGAAAGTTGCTTAACAACAACGATCGCGGGCGAGCTACCCTATCTATACTATAGTCGAATAGAAGTAATTACTCGAGAAAAAGTATTAACTGTAATAAATATTTTGAACAAATAAACAAAAATATTAATGAGGTAAAAACTATCAAAAGTTAGAATAGTTTAATAAGTCATTATTGATAGTTCTTACTTCTTAAAATCAATTTATAAATTCACGCCATATACCTTGCGGGGTAGACAGACAGGAGCGAACGCCACAAATAATGGTCCTTACATACATACTCGCCGGTTTTTATGACTTCTGCCCTGCGATTCTGTAAAAATCCAAACTCGAATTCAAATCCACTCACTCACACATTCGTATCCGAATTTACTTCATAAAGCAGCATCCGCTCAAACTTGAATTGGTAATAATGTTTCGTGACATAAGTGAAGTGAGTTTCGAAATGATATAGAATTAAAATGTGTGAGACACGTATAATCAATGAATTTTGTTATTTTAATACAAAAAAAAATGGAATCAAATGAGTGAATTAGAATTTGGGTCTGGATGTTTACACCTTCGAAGAGCAAGGGATTGATTTGGTCGTGGCCTTCCACGGCTTTTGTATCCTTCCACTTTCGTTGTATATCAGTTCCATACAAATTCTATTAATTCTTCTATTGGTAATTTTTTTAAATTTAAATTACGAGTATTATTACTTTTATTCAAGTTATTACTTCTACTCGACTATCATCATTATCATCATCAGCCCTTTTACGACCCCACTGCAGGGCCTCAGGCCTTCCTTATGGATGGTTAAGGAGGATGGGCCATGACCCTCCACGCTGGCCCAATGCGGATTGGAGGGTATTAACGACTGCAAATGCAGCCGGGATCAACGGCTTAACCTGCCTGCCGAAGCACGGAGTAGCTCGAGACAATAATTTTTTTGGTCACCCATTCCGTGACCGACCCTTACGAAAGTTGCTTAACGACCACGATCGCGGGCCGCGGCGCTAATCCACTACGCCACCGAGCTACTCGACTATAGATCTGAGTATTAGTCTCAATTAGTCACTATAGTTAATAACTAGAATATTACCTTCCAGTATTCGCAGTATGAAAATTAACGTACAGACGTATGACTTAATCAGTACGTCACATCACCAATGCAAAGGGACTACGCCGTTTGGAATGTCAAAATTGATTAGGCGGCATCCACACGGTGCTTTATTAACAATGACAGTTACAAATGACAATGTGAGAAGCTGGTGACATATTAATTATGTGGAACTACGTTAGTTTAAATATTAACTCTGACTATCAATAGTTGATATAATTAATATTAAACGCTTCTCTTAGATTCAGAGATGAGTTGCAAACTTAAGCCTTTGGGCTATATATAAATGAAACAGTTACGGTGCAATATATAAAAGTTCATTGTACATGTTGACTGTGCCGGGTATTACATCTGGAATTTCAAGTATCGCTCGGTCGTAGTGGTAGTCGCTGCTAATAAATTAGTGGAACTATTATTATTTACGTAGCTCTAAAAAAATTGTAGGAATAAATGGAATATTTAAATAAATTACTGATATTACGATCATTTGAAGAAACAATTATTATTGACAGAAGTTTGCGAAGTGGTAAGTGCATTCGATTTGGGATGCAAAGTTAAGCGAATTTCTAAAAGACCTGTTATAGAATGGGTGACCAAAGACTTATTATCTCGAGTACCTCCGTGTTTAAGACGGCATAAGCCGTTGGTTCCCACCAATCCGCACCGGGCCCTCGTGGTTATGTTTATGGCCAGTTCTCCCTACTTGATTAAATTCGATTCCATAAGAAAGGGTTCCGGCGGTGGGAACATTGGCTGACGAGGAAACTATTGTGAAAAGGAATAGGGATGATATCTTAATTATTATATTTGATCAGTTTTACACTCATTGTATGATATACTGATTTTTTTTTATAAAATCAACTTTGTCCCTGGCACTTTGAGATGGGGGGACTCGAACCCATGACCTTCCGTAATTCGGGCGACTGCTCTAACCACTGAACTACCCAGGACCTAACAGGACTGATGAACTTTTCAAGCACTTGTTTCATTTTCGTTATTACAGAGAGTATTTTCATCAATGTTTAGATTCCACCCAAACAGCTGAAAGAAATATTTAAACTTTCGATAAAGATTTTTTTTTCTAATTATTATATTTAATCGATTTGCATTCACAATGCTATCCTCAAAAATATTATTAAAGATCTTAAGATAAAATATCGCTAGCCATAATGCCCCAAAACAAAGTGAATATAATATTTTCATATTAGGTATATTAAGATTTCAAGGGACATGGAAATATAATTATTTTTGGCACGCATTTTGTTTCCGATCGCCGAAGAGTAAACCCATCCGACGACATCACAAAAGTGATAAAATGGAATAAGTCCACGTTGGTATACATGAATGCAGAGTTATTTTAAAGATAGTCTTCCGATATGGACGATCTATTTGGGCTTCGTAATAGCCCCTTCTGACTACCCCTTTACGTCATATATATATATATATAGCTAACTGTTTATTTGGATATTGATTCATATTATGACATGGATAAAATTATAATGACAAATTGAATACTAAACAATGTAAACTATGGTAACGTTTTAATTCCCTATACAAACTTCCACTTGCATTTTCATCCCGTATTATGCTGCTTTTGTTAGAAAAAATTAAAATCGGTCCAGTAGTCTGGGAGCTTATTCGATGCAAACAAATAAGCAATCAAATCTTACCTCTTTATAATATTAGTATAGATTTCGTAAGTCAAGATAGCATTTTAAAATTAATATGTATCGTATTTAAAAAGGGTTTCAAAATATTATCGTATTTTAACATATCTTCTCGTATCTTCAGATATCTTAAGATGAAATATTATTCTTTCTTTCTTATCCGTCTGCTACGAGCTTAATAGGATAATGTTATTTGACATCTCTATGAACGCACCATTACATTCACCAGACTCGATCACACCATACGAAACACCTTAGCGAGTATGCCGAAAAATAAATTGTCAAAGCCCCCTATAGTCTTTAAACCTCAGCAAACAAAGATGAAATTCGAATAAACTTCAACATGCTAATGTCGAAACTATTTTTGTTTATGTGAGGTCGATTTTAAGCGCGATTCGAATTGTAATGTAGACAGACTATTGTCTATAAAAGCGAAACGCGCGCGCAGGACAACAAGCGAACGCCAACGAAAATGAAGGTGATTACACACGAATCGTGTTAAGTGTTGTGTTTTGTGTTTGTGCTAATTAATAGTTCACGAAATAGCTTTCTTTTTTTCATAACGAAGTGTGCGTAGAAAAATATACAAAAAAAAAAAACTAATAAGAAAGATATGGAAAATAATTAGGCAAAGCTCGAAGTGTTTTCTTTTATGGAAATTTGTGGTTCTAACGATATAACTAAATGAATATCAGCTTCCGTTTGTTTCTGTTCTTAAAACTCGAAACAAAAATAAGATTCACTGAAAAGTTTGAATATTTTAATAATGAGTTTGGTTGTCTATTGTTCTAGCATTTATTTATTTTTGAATAACAACTCGCCGAAAAACTTCAAAAATGACTGAAATCAATAATCCCTTTAGATTATATAATATCGTAATCTAAGCGTATCCCTTGAAAAGATCGTATCATATCTCGGAAATGTTTGTTTATAAAATATTGTCTAGTTACTATAATACGTAATTCATGTTCAAATGAAGAGTATTCTGCCGTCTCGAGCCTAAATTGCACTAATAGCAAAATCAAAAACCCGAAAAAAACGTGCGTGAAGTTCTTAAATCTACGGGTATTTAAAATGCAGTAAAATGAGCTGTTACTGCATATTATACAGTTTTGGTTTTATATTAACTAACTTAAGTGCAGTCAGAGGGTTAAAATTGTTATAATATATTATGTGGTAATCTTAGTGTCGTTTCAGATAAATTTACATAATTTGGCGCTTTGGTTTAAATTGAAACAAAAAAAAAAAGATACTATTACTGGTCCTAGAAAAACATGAATAAATTGGGCTTGTAGGGCTCGAATTGGGCTTTGAGACGATATGAAAAACTCTAAAAGGCAAATTTTGCCGTTACCGCGATTTAGACTCAGGAGGGCAGACCTGTTTCAGTTCGTTTATTGGAGATAATAATCGCGAATAAATCAGAAAATTTAAAATATCTGAAAGTGCTTTCTGTGCGATTTCACTGGATAGCTGTGTAATTAAAAAAATACGAACGTAATATAATTGAGTAGCAATAAGTAAAATAGTTTTAATAATAAGATTTTGACATGTTAACAGTTTCCCGCGACTTCGCTTGTGTAAATTATAGCCTATGTTACCCGCGTATGATGTAACTTCCCCGTAGTAGTTTTGGAATCTATTCGATGCAAACAAATAAACAATCTAATCTTTCCTCTTTATCCTTACGATAAGTGCAATAGCTCGAAAATTTAGGCAAACTAACTAAGGAACATATTCATAATCAGAAAATGACTCAATATTTCCTTCTTAATTCTTTTTTTTTTGTATCAACAGTAGTTTTGATACCCTGTGACTTCTTGCGCGTAAATCCTAGCTTTTATCACTCGCGTATAATAAAGCTTCTAGTAGGTGAAGGAGTTTTTAAAATCGATCCAATAGTTTTGGAGCTAATTCAAAGTAATCAAATCTTCAAGTACACCATAATGTAATAAATTTAAATACACATTATTATAATTATATTAAAATCGTTTAGAAGCCGTTTTGTATACTGAAATATGCTCCGCAAAATTTGGATCATTCATCACATTACATATTTTTTGCAGAAATTATTGGCTGTGATCGGTGTAGTGTTGAGTGGTGCTCTCGCAGAGCCCGAGGCACCCTACGCCCCTAGCGGATTCAGGCCTAGCGGACCTGCATTTGAGCTACCTCAGAAGGTAAAGAAAACACTTCTAAATACTAATACATGATTACTAAATCATTGCTATAACATATATTTCTATAACCTGACCTGCTGTTGACTGAGTACAGCTAAATACAGGGTAGATTTTTAAGAAGTCTACGAAAGCTTTATTTTGTATATTTCATAATAAATTTATTAAGATCACAGATATTTTGAGGCTATTAAATTAGCATTCTGACGAATAGCGAATTTGACACTGAGAAAGTTTATATGTACTAAATTTTCAGAGTCCTCAACAACAGCAGGAGTATCTTCCACCTGTTGAGCCCAGGAGACCAGTGAATCCAAACACTGAATACGGAACACCCGAGGAAGATGTCTCAGTCCAAGGACTGCCAACACATGAACAGATGCCAATATTTCAGGTATCTCCTGTCAATGGACAACTTTATACCGGACCACAGTTCAATACTGACTTGAGAGAGTTGGATAGTTCTAAAAGTTTCAGACTTACTCAGGTTTGTAAAAAACATTTTTGATAAATAGAATCACATGCTAATCCATTCAATAAACTATTGGTTACCCAAACGATGCAATGTTGCTTCAGTTTAATTAACGTTCTTGAGCACTATGCAAGTTCCTCTCGCTTTAGACAGTGATTAATTAAAATAATGAATCTAATCAGGTATAAAATAGTATTATTCCTCTTGCATTCAAGAAACTAAAATTAATTGACGAACTAGGAACTAGGAATTCCCAATGTTCAACAAATGGTATACAATTTATTTCAGTATCAACTTCAACAAGAAAAATACCGTGAACTTGATAGACAGCGACAATTAGAAGCAGCGCAAACAAGAACTCGTAACAATCAAGTCCAAAATCCACCAGTTCCGAGGCAATTCGGTCAAACAACACCATCAATAACCGAGCCTACGTACTCAACCAAAAGCACTGAAGATCAAAATACAGAAACCAGTACGCCATCAATTGAATTGAATGAAGGAGAAACTTTCGATGATGATAAAAAAGATAGTAAAAACAAGGTCACAGTTGAAGTCGCCAAACAGAATTTGCAAGAATACCCCGGAGAATTGTTCCTCAGTTCTCTGGCTCAGCTGCAGTTGCAACCTCAATTTGTACCAATACAGCAATTTGGACAACTTAAAGCACCTTTGCAATATCAACCTGTACAACAAGATCCACAAGTAGGATACGATGTCCAAACTCATTTTGCAGCGCTACCGTCAGTGTTAGCTCAAAGACAATCACTTCAGCCTCAATATCAGAATCAACAAGGTTTGGCACAAAACCCAGCTTTGTTTGTTGCATCACAAGATCCTTCTGTAGCTTTACTTCAAGCTCAACAGCCACCTAATCAGTATCAGCCATTCGTGAACAATCCATACCAACCTTTGGAACCCCAAGTCTTTCCTCAACCAATAGTAGTGCAACCTCAATCTAGCCAGCCGAATTTTGTGCAATCTCAGCAGCCAGAAAACGAAGAATCTCGTCAAAATCAAGACCAAGAATTCGTATACCAACAAAGCTACCAACCACAGGAAGTTACCTATCAACCTCTGTTTCCCCTAGGACAGACTATGGTATCGAACACCTATCAGTCTCCTCAACAACAAAACTTCCCGTTACCTCAAGCACAACTGGTTAATTACAATCCCCAATTAGTTCAACAATATCAGAACGGATTTGTTCCTCAACAATTTCCTGCACAGCAGCAAGTTTATCAAGGTCAAGACTCTTTACAGAGCGGTCTTGATTTAAACCAACAAGGAAATGGAGTGGAAGAAACTGATGACAAAAATTATGACGATGAAAACCAAGATGACGGTTCGATGGCAACAGCAGTCGCAACGGCATTTGGCGCAAGGTTGGTTATATTCTTACTAGGAGAATTTAAATCAATACACCATGCGTTGCACGTACTAAAGTATATGTTAATATGCCAGTAACAAAGGTCTCATTATCATTTGCACCGCGTGCTCTGATGATTAAGCGGATGTGAATATCATTTATTATATCTGCGATTATTACTTTTAATATCTAGTGTAGTTAAATGTGTCTTTTTATCTTTCTTTTTTTTTGCTAAACTAGCTTATACTGTCATTCTGACATAAAAAATGTAAATTATATCACCATTTAATATCCCTGCAAGGGCTTTGGTCTTCACTAAGGATGGTTAAGAAGGATGAGTCATAATCCTCCTAGCTGGCCTAATGATGATTGAAGAGTGTTAAAATAACTCAAGTTTTCAAGAATTACAAAGGCAGTGGAATAATCATATCTACTTTTTCTTTAGAACTCAACCTCGCGTCTTACCAAGATATGGGCCACCTATTCCGAAAGTGACTGCTAATCCTGACGTCACAGATTCGGCAGTTCAAGATGAGGTAAATTTTTTGTTTTTAGTTCAAATTTGTCCCTTCTGTTAGCAAGTTTTTGCTCGAAATAAATAATTTAACTTATGTATCTCTTAACTGTCATGTCATATCGCTAAAAATGGTTTTGTTTATATTTGTAGAAATAAGAGTACCATACCGATAAGCCCTACATTATAAAACTAAATCGCTTCGCGCAGTCTTTACGCTGAGATATTTGGAAATACTCAACAGATTTTAAGTGATTCAAGGGAAAGGTTTATATGTACAATACAGGACCACGCGGGTGTAGCCGCTGGTGGACACCTAGTTAAAAATAAGAAAATTACGTCACATTTCTAAGGGTTGTGTCATAGTTAAAACGTGAATTGCTTTTTTTATAAAAAGAAAAAAATACCTCTAAATTTCAAAAGTTTTTTAGTTCCTGTCGTAATTATAACCGTTTTGTTAAAGGAAATTTGATAAATACGTGATTTACTTTGCAGTCGACAACAATTTGCCATTCCCTTCCCTTTCATTTTTCTTTGTCTTGGCGCTCATTCTCTTAACCAGCGTCATCGATCAAAACGAACGCGTGTTATTAAATAATAAACAATTCATTTTCCCACATCACTACATTTTCGACAACACACAACCCTCATAATATTAGCTTGCGGCAGCCGAAGTCCGGTCTCCAATACCTACCGTTCAGGCAGAAACTTAAGTTATGAGATGTGAGCGAGTGAAATGTTTTTGAGCGACTACTGTTGAATATAATACGATAAAATACAGCTAATTTATACACTAAACACTGTGCTTATCAATATTTATATTAAAAAAGAGGAAAGATTTGATTGTTTATTTGTTTGATTGCACCATTCTGTGGAATATTTGTATTTTCACAGATGATTTGTTTTGGTGTAAGTTCGATTTATAAGAAAGAGATTGGGTAACATGCAATAAATGAATGAATTATTATTATTAAAGATTTCTCCCTAATAAACTTAATTGTAAAAATAAAATAAATGCAATATTTTCATTCAAAGACCTGTAATAAATTTGTTTTAATTATATTACGTTTTATAACATTTAATATATTACAGGAAGCAACGGGGGACATGGGAGCGGTAGCACAAGCGAATGCATTTGCTACAGGAAGGAGAAAGTCCGCGAAATTGAGGTAAATATTGATTGATTGACATCGTTAAGTAATATATTTATCATTAGCCTATTAATGTTCTACCGTTGGGGTACAGCCCTTCCCTATAGATGGAATCGAATAGGAAGAATGGACCAGAACCCACCACATTCCAATGCGGATAGGTGGCTTAACGTGTATGAAACACGCAGGAGTTCCGGATAACAAATTTTTGGTCACCCATCCTATGGCTGACCGTTGCGAAAGTTGCTTAACTTCGACGATCGAACATTCTAACTACAGCGCAATCGAGTTTTTATTTATCGACTGTAAAGTTGAGTCGATAGAAAAGAAACACTGAAATGAACAATGAAAAATATTTTTCTCTAAAATTTCGTTCGAAGTTTCAAACGCAGATCTTGTGACACGTTTCATATTTTAGAAATCGAAAACATTTTCTAAGCGTCCTCGTTGTGCAACGCAGGAAAATATTTCAGGCAACGAACTTCTCATACATTCCAGACAGTATTGCGATCATTCAGGAGTTTCCGCTGTAAGAAATGCTTCAACATTGTGTGAAATACTTATATTATCTATGTACTAGATTTCTACCAGCATGTTCGACCGCGTGGTCCTGTTATTATTTATTATTAGTTATTTTTAAAAAGGTAAACAGTTCCTCATGGAACTGTAGTCACTGCGACTTTTAATATATTTTATTACCGCCAAAGCCATAGTAATTCTTTTACCTTGGTAGCCTTAAAAACTACAGGACTGATTTCAAAAACTCTTTTACCTAAACTGCTATCTTAAAGTTAAATATGTAACTGAACCATTTTGTTTCAGAAGCCGTAAAGTTCGCCCTGTATTCACTTTGGATCGATCAGGACATTTGGTGTTAGCGCAAGACCAGAACTAATTCAATCCAAATTGATATAAAATAATAGGTTTCTACCCATGAAATTGCTGATATGTCAAAAACACAGAAGTTATATATGTAATTTGTATAAATTTAAAACGATTTTTATTGGTATTAATATTCACAATACTACCATTATTATTGTTAGATCAATCCATTTCAATAGTAATTAAGAATATAAGTATCTGCAAGATACATTCTGCCACTATCTGTTATAAAAAATGCACGCATTTTTTTATTTTTAATATATTAAAAAAGATGATAAATGGATAAAGCTTATCTAAAAGAAAAAAAAGAAACATTTATTGTGCTCAATCTCACAAACAAGTACATTACAGTGAAAATACATACAAGTAAAAAACAACCCCGATATGTAAGACAATAATAACAATTTTTTTATTTTTTTTATATTTACATTACAATTTTAAACATAGTTACACTTTTAAAGTTTTTTACAGCATTTATAAATTAAAGAGGTGCGCTAAGAGGTTACGCCTAGTTGTACAAACGTCCATTGAAATTGTCAATAATTTAAATAGTTATTTAAGATACGAGTGCGGAAAGTAAGGTTTTTAGCGAGGGTTTTCATTGGCACGAATTCGAAAAACCTTTTACACTCAAGTTTCTTACAACATTTTTCAATGCTTTTTGCGAGGAAATAAAACAAATATATAGGAAAATAACACTAAGTATGTATTAAAGGTAAAAAATTATTTGTTAAAACTAAACGTGATATTTGAACATGTTTTCGTGTCATACATTTTTATTTAAAAATATTCGTTCGAGGCTCCTTGAAATACTTTTGCCTCTAAAGTTTGACATATTTTCATCATTTTTTTTTTATTTCTTTGGTGCTCGGCCAAAAAAAGTTAAAAAAATACTTTTAAGCACGTGTGCAGTAATGAATTTCAGTACATTTTTATTTAACACGTGTTTAAAGACTCACTTTCGGTGTTTACAATGGATTAATAAATAGCGCTTTATGAGCAACTGCATTGAAAAGGATATTAAGGATACAAATTTTCTAATTTAGAAAATTTATTAGATCTAATTGAATTTTGGTGCAACAGACCGTTATCAGGTAGCTTGTGTTGTCGTGACAAAATATGCACATATAAACCATATATGAACATACAGTCTGCAAACTGAAAAGGAGATTTTAATGTTGGCAACACTTCTTGTCAAACTCGCCGGTGTAATAAGACTACTTGATTTTGATACTTTTATTACTTTAATTTTTTTTTATTAGTTACTTGACCTAGTAACTTCAATCGCACTGTGTTGTGTACCCAAGTAATTATTTGTGTTACTATTTTCTTAGTTATTTAAATAAATAACAATGTATATCTGTAAAATACCATGGTTACAATAATTCTATTTCTTGTTGGGTAAGATAAATGTAAACTGTAATATATAAAGTTCATTGTGTACATTCTTATGTTTCAATTTGCTCTGGTATTCAATAACCCCCGTACCGAGTACTGAGTGATGTATCCTAATATTATAAATTAAAATATTATAAAGGCGAAAGTTTTTAGGTTTGGGTGTTTGGATGTTTGTTACTTCTTCAAGCAAAAACTACTGAACGGATATTGATGAAATAATGAACGAAGGCAATTCGAAGTCTAGATTGACATATAGTCTACTTTTTATCCCACTAAAAGTCACCCTAGGGATAGCAGTACCTTCAGGGACTTCGGTTTGTGAACGCTTTCTAAACGGTAAGAGATATACTCGTACGAATGCTTTCTAAAGAAAAGTTTAAGAGCTTTAAAGTATCTATACAAAAGTCGGCGATAGCATATATGCTAAGATTTTGCCACAAAAATAAAAGTACTTCGTATAAGTGTATTTAAATTTTTTGTCCGTCTTATTTGAGTAGGTAATATCAAATCCTTATCGAAATAAATATGTTTAGCATCAAAAAAGTTAATGTAAACAAAAAATGCCTTTTACACTAAATAAATTGGATGAGTAGTTTAGATTTCACTACTATGTTTTTGAGAAAAGAAAATAATATGTATTGCCGATTTTGTAAATACATGTATCTATTAGAATTAAACAGGTTTTTTTTAAATGTATAAACGGCGACATTAGAATTTGTAAGGACTGAAGTAATGACGATGCTGTTTTAATAATAAAAAATGAAATCAAGTTTGAGAAAAGAGTGCCTTAAGCAACAAGAAACACTTAGTCAAGGGGAAATGCCAGTCTGCAGCCCCAAGAAATTATCTGGAGTAGTGTAAGGCTTATGTAAAGTTGGGAAGGATGAAAAATATTTGTTGGACAGAATCTTTTGAGCATGTGCCGGGGATCATGAATGAAAAGAGACGCCTGCCAGGGTTACCGCGCAACTACATTACTTTCGATTTGGTTGAAGTTGGATTGCACTCAATGTTTATTATATGAGTATATTGTTAGATCACATATGTTCAATACATCAACGCTGGAGAGCAAACACGTAGTATCTATCGTACCTGCAAAACCAAAATGGATATTTAGAGTGGAAAATCTTTATAATTTTCCAAAAAAAAAATCTTATTTCTGTATAAATTGACTAAGGAACACCTTATTTGTTACCATGGATGTTTATAGGAATTATTTATCGAATAAAATAAAAGTTTTTCTGCTCTGAAGAACAATTTTGGTTTTGCGGGTTACGACGTGTTTGTTTGCTTTATAGCGTCGATATCGAGTTGAACCCAATGCAGTTCAATGTTGAGTGCATTTTGATTGAAACAATATAAATCAAATCGAAGTCAATTTCATCACGCGGGAGCCCAGCTGAAAATGACGAGGGTTGGACAAGGGAGAATGTATGGACACTTCATACGTCAAAACGACTTCTTTTAAACCGGACCGGAAGCAAAAAGACAGCAACATGTAAAACTTTGATTGTGATATTGTCGAAAATCATATTTTTCTGGCGAAGTGATGGCTTACTTTTACAAATACTACTTAAATAGCAAGTAAAAATATTTAAGTTTTAATAAGATAACGTTGTTTTCTAATTATTTGTTAACATTTGCATAAAAATGCTATATCTGTGTCTTTTAACAGGGCTTTTTCTTCTATAATTTACACAATATATAGCATTGTAAATATAGGGAATATTGATAAATATACAAACCATTTTTTAATCCAGGGTTTAATGCAACACTTATACAATAATCGTAATAATTTGCGAGTAATTAACTAAAATACATAGTTTTTACCGTCCTTATTGTGCGGATGACTATTTTTTTCTCTGTCCGTCAGGTAGATTTTTGAAGGATTTAAATAACAAATTTATTTATTTTTTTTCTATACATTAAGTTAAAATGTCGAATGACATCACACCTTTTTACATTTTCTACATAGATGTGACGTAGTGAGCTACCGCATCTTAGCTTTAATGCTTATTATATAATATTCTTGATGAGAAATGATTAAAAAATCCACTTTGTCTCTGGCACTCTGCGATGGGACGTTGACGTGCTACTACTTCTAAATTATAATGCTTATTATATAACATTCTTAATGAAAAATGATTAAAAAGTCCACTTTGTGGATTAGATGGGACTTCAACTTTAGAAGGTGTGTAACTCTTAATTTGTTTTATTAATAGATCTAGGAATCATGAGGTCTGGGCAGCGGGCCTTAGTAGCAATTTGAGTAGGTCCATGGTTAGGCCAAGGTTTGAGTTTAGGCTAGCCTTCTTTTTAGATGACGTGTCCGTTGAGTGTATGAATAAACATGATTTCTATGAAGAAATTAGCCGTGGACGTCAGTGTCGCTGTGATAACAGACTAAAGATCCAAAAATAAAGTATTGACAAATTTTCACAGTTTTTAAAGAGACATTACAAGATTTCCTTACAATATTATCAATTTAAATTTTGAGATTTTATTTAGATAAACGACTTTTAAACTGTCTCTTTGGCAACACTCCGGTCTCGCGTTCTAGTATGGTGTGGAAACGTGTACATATTATAGACAATACAGCGTAAGAAAATTTTGTGATTGTTTTTTCTCAAAAATGGTTAGTGTTATGACAAAATGTGTAAGAACAATTTTTGTAGATATTTGCATGATCTACAATTTTTGTTCCACATATTTTTTCATAAAAGTAACCGTTTCGCTGAAAAATTCAAAAAACCCATTTTTGCAATCTTTGATCTTGAATATTTTTTGCAGACATGGGATCGATGGGGACTTTTCACAATTTCATAATAATGGTGTCCCTAACATATATGTAAATTTTCGTGAGAATTAATGCAAGGTTACCCCTATTCTTGGGCTAAATTGACCGGACTATAAAATCTTTAAAAAGATTAGAAAATAACTAATAAAAAACTGTTAATTTTTACAACACTTTCATTATCAAAATAATAATACCGTAAAGACATAAAAGACCGAGGAAAAATGCAGGCACACTCGCTATAACCACAATATTTTCTCTAATAAACTTCATGGGAACGACAAAGAACGATTTCGCACGACGAAAAGACCTACTCGCTTCAAGTTCCGAAGGACCCGGAGATAGAGTAACAGTATCATCTTTCTTAGTTTCAATTACTATAGCTTCATGTAAAGGCGGTTTTAATACCTCAAAATAGTCTTCCAAGATATTAGGCTCTTTAAGTTTCTGCATTGATTTACGTGAAATCTTTGGAAATTCAATATTTTGCTTGTCTAAGCTCAATTTTAACATAATATTGTCGATTATTTGATTCCCAATTAGAGTACACTGTAAATTCTGACTTCGAGAAATATTTTCTCGTTCTACAACCACCTCTTTATTCGAAAAAAATTTATTATAATTACGGCTTCCTAAATTATTTCCTTGAGCAAAATTATTAATATTACTCTCTATAATAGTAAATGAGTTTCTCATTTCGGTAATTAACTTTTCGGTAAGAGAATTTTCTAGTCTTTTCACTGCTTTATCCACAACATATACTAATCTATCCCAGAGTTCATTTATATTTTTAGGGTAGTTTTCAACTTCCCCAGAGCAGTATTTATCAGTATCATTGAACATAGTTTGAATGGCAGATTCATTAGGTAACGTTATATCTTTGAGTTTTTTATATTCGTTATTATTTTCAAATGTTTTTTTCAGAGCAGTTTTGTTGTTATTTTGTTTGTCGTCAATTTTTGTATCGTGTTTCGTGATTCTTAAAAAATTATTGGAATCACCAGTTACATAGACGTTAGTGCAGTTATCGCTGAAATTAATAGCTGAACTTGTCGAGGCATTGATATCTGGAAATAATCCCATAACAGTATTTAACAGAGCTTTTCTACCATAGTTTTTGTCTGAATTATTAAAAGCTGAAGTTTTTGGATGAAGATTTTCGGAATACATAAACTTTTCTGAGTTCGGTGTTAACGTATCATCTGAGTCTATCATTAAATTACCCAGCTCGGAACTTTCTTCGCCTACTATTTTATTATCGTTCAAATAACTTGGTTCCAAGGTAAGTGTTTTATCACTAGGGCTAATACTTTGTTTATTTTGCAAATAATCATCTTTATCTAAACATTGACTAGATGTTGAATCAGAAATCTTCATATTTGATGGAAATATAAATGTTTCAGTATTGATAAAATTATCAGCAAGCGGCCTAATATTTTCATTGCATTCGTTAACCGGTGATGGTTTATAAGTAACCGCTACAGAAACATTCACAACGTCTTTGCCATATGGCAGCACATTTTTTGACTGTATGTTCTCGATTGACTTACTAATATCTAACCGGCTGATTTCATTCTTTAATGAACTATAACTTCCAATTTTAAGAGTATTTTCACTAAAGTTACTCTCAAAAGATGTTTTGATAGTTGATGGTGATGACTGAAGGGAATCTTCATCTGTATTAGCTTGACCCGATGATGTTATATTCTCGAGATCAAGTATGTTTTCTTTCGTAATAACTTTTTTCAATAATTTAGAACGAGATACAATATGTGACAACGAATTAGTATAAAATGTGTCTTTCATTTTTACGACCACTCGTTTGTCTTCATTTTTAATTGTTTTATTATATTTAAAAGGCATCTTTTTAATTTTATTGCGGTTTCCCATTTTCTTCTTTGTTGCTCTTGGAATATGTCCGTTTTGATTACTTATGGCTAAATCTGGGTCGACTGGTTCCATATAAACAATCTCTTCCTCATTAGATTGTTCTTTATTACGATTATCAATGATGTGGTTTTGTATTTCAAACACTTTATCAGTATCGCAGTCTTCATTGCGGTCTCCAGAATGTAAAGCTAAATCTTCTGAGGAATCACTTTTTTGATTCTCTACTTCATCATCTATAGTTATCTTTACGTCATTGATTTTTTCAGAATGATTTGGATCAACCAATTTTATCATTGAATTGTCATCTAAAGTAATAGTTTTAGTCGACATTGTTGGAGATCCCGAACTATGACTACCTTGCAAGCTTCTTTTGTTGCAAATCATTTGTTGGGCAGTTGCTATGTCGTCATAAGTTTCGTGAACTGCAAATGCAACTATATACGATGGCATCATTTTTGGAAATCTTGTTGATGATTTCATTTTTCTGATAAAGTCTATTTTTCTCTTTTCTTCGATTGAATGTATATTGTTTATTAATTTTCTGCAATAAAACAAAAATATTATAATCTCATGATTTTTTCAATTTTAAATAGGTGGAGATTTTCATTGAAATAAAGTATTCTCATTCAAATAACAAGTTTATGACTAAATTCTGCTGCTGCAGAATGTTATTAAAAAATGAAAACTATTATATGAAAATTGATATATATATTTAAAATAGAACAAATAACAAAAATCTGAATTTAAACAATAACTATTAAGTTATATTAAAGAATAAATCACTTGAACCAAATCTTACAAACAAACAATGTCAAAACCCGAAATCGGAGAGTTTCAGTAAAAACTGTGATATATTTGGAGGTTTTTCGTTTTCTGATGAACTGCCTTCTGGAGTTTTTGAATTTTTCGATGGTTTTAAAAGATCTTTCAATACATAATCGTAAAAGAAATAAATCAGAATGATAAGTGGTATCCAAAGGAGAACGCAATATATACAGCCTTCGAAAAAAGTTAAATTATCTTTACTTTTTACAGTTAGCGTTGGTTTATTATCAATTTCTATGCAAACTGATGAACAACTTGGTAGTCCGCATATGTAATCATGATCTGAGGTGGGAGGTATTTCAGGTACGAAGTCATGATCTGAATTAGTCTTGCAGTTCTTAAGTTGTACAGGTAATACGATACTTTCACCGAGCCTTTGTTTGTACATAGGACTAGCCCTAAATGATAGGTTTTGTGGGGAAGAGCACTTTATGATTTTCTTGCTGCTTTGAGTATGATCGTGATATCTTTTATTTTTCTTGCGTTCGTTGTAAAAAAATGCTAAAGTTCTTCTATTTTTATCTTTAATCCTTTTAGTCGTATTTAATGAAGAATTTGATTTATGCGGTGAACGAGACTTATTTACATGAAGTTTAGATTTCGCAAGGGCAGAAGTCATATCTGTTACTCTTATTATCGATTCACTCTCAATCACGTGATAGGACGAACTAGGTTTCTTTAATTTGTTACTAGTCTCTTCAATTTTTTTTGGTTCTTTAAATAATTTCAATCCTGATGTCAGTTGACTAGAACGAGGAATATTTGACAATTGAATACCCTTTGATTCTGACTTTTGTTTTGGAATCACTTTCTTTTCATTTATAGGGGCCTCCGTAGCCACAGAAGTATGTCTTGTATTATTTTTAGTTATTTTTCTCCTTAAATGTTCAACAACAATTTTCTCAGTAGTAGTCGACAAGTCTCGTAAAATACCCTTTAATTCACTTAGTTCTTTACATACTTCTAAGCCTGACATTACAGTGCCACATTCGTTAACAGATTTTATTTTAACATCTTCAGACTTGCAAATAGATGTGGAATTATTACTTCTAAATACATACTTAACTTGGCTTGTGGCGCCATCAAGTAATGGTACTATTTCTGGTATTGATTCAGCTCTTGGGACATTAGTTCTTAAGCCGGATTCTAATAAGTCACTTAACAATATTGGTTCAGTATTAAAAATACTTGTTGGGGAAATGTTTAATTCAAAATTATTTGACGGTTTTTTTATAATATTGGATATTTGTCGTTCGACCTCAATAGATGGGTATACATCAACATGAACTTCCAGTTTGATATTTCTTTTTCCTTTGTATGCTGAAAAATATCTTAATATATTACGTATGTGATTGAAAAAATCTTTAGTATATATATTACGATTTGTCTTCCTATATAGATAGGTAAATTTTCGATATTTAATATTGTCAAATTTTAACTGCTCATTTTTGCACTTTCCTTTATCTCTTGGCTTATAGTACAGTTTCTTGCATTTTATTGGTGTTTTTGTTCTAGTGGTACCATATTTTCTAATTCGTTTTGAATGACAATTATCACGGGTAAATTTGGAATCAGCACTAATTTTATTTCTTTTCTGAAATTTCCGTGACTCGCATACAGTGTCTTTGATTTCTTTATGTGACTCATGAATTTTTTTATTTGATGTGCTACTCATTGTATGGGTGAAATTTATCCTTTTCATAGTAAAAATATCGTTTTTGTTTTCACACTCAGTTATTTTTTCAGTATTCGCAGGATTGTTTTCGTAAATACTTTTTAGTAAACTTTGATTCGGTTCCACGTAAACATCATCTGTTTCTATATCGACAAGTTTTTCGACTATGTTATTTACTGATGAGGATGTACAATCAGTTGTACTTTCATAGAGCGGGATATTCACGTCTGGGAATATTATAATGCCTCGCATTTTATTATGTTTCTTTCTATGTACTTTATCAGGGTTCGGTTTGCAGTTATTATTTGCACCAATTGAATTGTCTCCATTGCTTTTCCGCACCTCGTTAGATTTGATTTCATGTTTTTTTGTTTTCTTATTTTTATGCATATTTCGAGGTATACTGAGTGTGGAAATTATCCTTAAACGTTTACAAGGAACCGGTACTGTAAAATGTGAATATTTTTTATATAAAATACTACTATTCTTTCCAACAATTAATGAAGTTTGCTTCTGTTTACAATACTGGCAAATTAAAGAGTTTGTTTCTATTTTTCTATTTCGCACCTTGCATCTTTCTCCATTCCTTTCTAAAACATATGTTGAACAAGACGAAGGAGCTTCTGAAATTTTATTCTCTATACTATGCATTATTGAATCAAATATTTGGATGAGTTTTTGTTTCGTTTCGTCATATTCAAAAACGTGCTTACAAATCCAATCGTTAAGAAGACTTTTAAGGTTTTCCAACATCAATGATGTAATATCACCTCGTTGGTTATGTTTCACAGTTTCACATCTGTGTTCATTATCTCCAGAGGCTACAGTATCTGGTTTGAACTCTTCACTAAAGTCATCTGTTTCTAATTGGATGGTACGTTTACTTTTAACAGATGATTCATCATACCCAGAAAGTTTGGCTCTTTTCCTTTTGAAGTATCTTCTAAGGATGCAATTACCAGTTTCGATGCAGAGATCTCTTTTAATTGTCTTACCGTCTGTATAATAAATATTACTTTTAGAGACATTCTTCTTGATTTTAGATATAGAGCTTTTAGTAAACTGAGAGCCTTCTGAACATGTTTTAGAAAAAGTGTTACATGTAATATTAGATTTCTTGTATAACACTTGTGTATTTTCGCTGTGTCGAGCTATATATTTGCCCATTCTTGAGATTCCTTCTTCGAGTAGTCTTCTGTAATAAAAAATATCAATTCTCTATTCATCAGTTCTATTTCTTGATTCCAGCGCTGTTTATTAAATAAAATTTTTCAATATTTTGGAGATGCTATGGATTGGATATTAAATGGTTTTTTCCAATCATTAAAAAAAATTGGAATATCGTTAAAATACATGAACATTTTATATTAATAACACCGATTATTTTAAAGGTATAATGGAGGGAACAGTCGTTCTGAGAGTTCAAGTCGGTAGTTGGATGGTAGTCTTACATTAAATAAGCTAAACAAAGTTAAATTAATTAGTATTGTATTTAAAAGAGATGATTATTAATGGTTCTTTACACTTAATATATAAGGTTGTAAGACTTATTACTTCCACAACCGATAACAGAGAACCTGTCATTTACGTGAATTAAATCAAACCGAATGAAATATATACTTACGAAAATAGATTCGCATAAAATGTTATGTCATTTTACTACAATAATTTATATGAATCACTCTGTCACTCCATACGATATTAATTTTTATTATGAATTTGACACATACCAATCAATTTGACAGTGAGTTTCAAGATTTTAGCCTGCTTATTCGTTTTGATAGATCTTTACTTGCCAGTCATCACAGTCAAAAGAACAAGAAAAAGTTTTCATACCATTTTATTTAAAGACAGTAAATATAACATCCATGGTACTGAATATGAAGGTAATATTAAAAACGGGTCAGTAAATTCGTCTTTGTTTAGTTGTTTTTCTTTCATATGGCAATGTAGAATCATTATGGTACGTTTATGGCTGTTTTCTCGTGATTTTGAATTCTTACGTATAATAGGGGAGACCTAGGTGAGTTGTGACAGAGGTGAGTTGTGACAAGGAGGATTTCTCTCTACCTATTATAGTAAGCGAGATGGCATTAACGCTTGTTTGTCGTTCTCGACACGCGCTACACGACTCAGTACCTGTCGACGGTGCATATGGCACATGCGTAAATATATCGTCAGTGTACAAAAAATTGCGAAAAGTAAGTTTTCTTCAATAATTATTTGAATATATATCATACCTTAGTATATGTGCATTTATGTGTTATTTTTTCTTAAGTTAGGTAGTTATTTAAGTCTCAATACGTGGCACCGATTTTTTGTATGCGCATCGTGTTAGAAAATATGAATTATTATTCGGACCAAGACGTCATTTTGAACACCTAGGTGAGTTGTGACAGCCTGTCACAACTCTCCTATCTTACTCCATATTTCTGCTGGGCTATTTTTACAATTTTTTTTTATTAACTTTAGATGTTTGTTGTTGTGTTAGTAGCTACATAAGATGTATAATGTCATACCGCATACTTATTTTATTTGAGAATGCCAAATAACTATACAGAGACCGAAAATCTAAGAATGTTAAGAAGCGTGTCTTAAGCGAAGAAAAAATAAAGAAACCTAAAATACCAAAGAAGACTAATAAGAAGAATAGAACAAGTGATGAAGAAGATGCAGAAAATAATTGCTTTTATTTGGTTTGCCTTAAAGCCTATGCAGACAGCAGATCGAATGATCAGTGGGTCCAAAGCCTTGAATGCAAAGGCTAGGCACACGTAGATTGTACTGGGGACGAGCTGCTTACGTTTGGCATAATTGTGAATCTGATTAGATTTATACTAATTATAACAATAATATGATTGATCTCAAAGCGATACCATATTTAGTTAATGAAATGCTATGTTGTTTTAGTTGGTAGGTATTAAAAGATGATTAATCAGTCAAATCAAATCAATATGTTGATCGCAGGTTATATAAAGATATTGGATGCAAGGACTGAATAGTTACACCGTGATCTGCTAAAAGGCATAAATATTAGTAGGTTAGTAATTGTCAACTAATCTAATCAATAACATGTTATGTCAAAAATTCAATTAATTCATTAAGTATTTATACATTTACAAGTACTGTCAGCTAAATAGTCGTTTACACTATAATATGCTTTAGCTACTAATAATTTACGAAGTTTTCTTTTAAAACATTACAATTATCCAGATTACGTATTGTTTTTGGAATTTTATCAAAAATTTTTGGAGCCATACAAAAGATACTTTTGTTCAACACAGCTGTCTTAGAGGGTCTCGTCTTATTTTCAAATAGTTGTTGATTCTGTTTGACAAAATACCATCTTCGAATATATAGATTGAGGCAGGGTCATAATATTTAGTTTAATAAATATGGCTATCGGTCTTCGTACTCTGTAAATGACATATGCTCCTAATATTTTTTCTGGGCTCTAAAGGCAGTTACAGAATCAGTCGAATATCCCCAAAATATAATGCCGTATCGAACAGTGAAACTACGTACGTGATAAGCTGTAAGGACCGTGCACTGATTCGCGATCCTACTAGATTGTACAGTGCACAAGAATACTGGGACAACTTTTTGCAAATGTTCAGTGTGTGTTTTCAAGTCAAATTTATTATTATAGTACTGATTAAGTACTGATTTGATAAAAAAAAGTGCTTGATTATTATGTCGTATGTAATGGTATTTTATATCTATAGCTTAAATATAATGATGTCACACTTACCTCGGTACCTGTTACAACTTCCTCGGTGGTAGGAGAGTTGTGACAAGGGGAGTGGATTTGAATTTGTAATTTTTTTCAGAAACTATTGTACTTCAATTAATTTAGTGATGTTTTGAAACAGAAGAAATGGCGCTAAACTACTTCACATGAGTCACTGTGGAATGTTTCTAAGCGAGATAGAGCCCTCGTAAAAATTGTCACAACTCTCCTAGGTCTCCCTACTACGGAGGGGGGAGGCGAATCTTACTTAGATGAGGGAGGGCGTAAAAACTTTCAAAAATCGTCTTACGTATTAAATGGATATACAAAATATTTTAAGAGAAAATCAGTTGACACTTTATATATTTTTTTCGTAAATATGTTGCGGAAAATATGGCGGTTATAAAAATTTATAATAAATAAAATATGTAAGGATATCCTTTTTGTTTTCATGTGGCCCATTTTTGCACATATCCCAGACTTTTCTGCTCCTTAGGGAAACGGATGTGCACTTAACCTAATTACCCGGTACTTAGGGGTTATTCCCAAACGGCATTATAAGAATATTGGTAACAGGAAAGGTAAGTGCTTTCCTGATAAAGCTAACTACGATAAAATAAATAGAGAAATAATTAATACTGGAAATAAAATTTTAGAAATATGTAACTTAGAAAATTAAAATTTCTGATGAAATGACACATCACTTGCATGTGATGGCACCTGACCCACGTTTCTTTTCTGGCATCTAAGACAGTTTATCAAGTGCTTATATCAAAAGTAAATATTGTCTTAGATTTCAAATATAGGATTTGAAGAGAAGAATAGATGTGATTAATTGTTATCATAGTAGTGAATTTTTGTGACTAATTTTTTCGCGTAAATTAAAACCACCACCTGGTGGCAATTCCTCCTTCATTATGGAGGAGTCTAACAGTAACTCCACAGGCACACAGGACTAAAAGGAATATCATCCATTTCATTTTGTCGTGTGATTTTGTTTATATTTCTTTGTGTACATAGCAACCCTAATATCCATTAAAAGTTTCATATTTTTTTATTATTACAACTTAAAATATAGTGGCATGAAAAGAGAGTTTATAAATGTTAGTTGTTATAAATAAAATTAAGTGAAACTATGAAGTCATTAATATTTGTAGGGATGTCAAGCAGTATATCTTCGATAGGAATGTCTTGTCTGAAAACGTGTCTGAAATAGTATATTAATGTCTATGCATCATATTATAAAATCAGTGATGAGAAAGTCATGTATTATAATTATTTTCTTGACATTATAATATATGTCATTCGATATGTGGCAGTCGGAAATAAACCAAGTCGACCATTTTGTTTTATGTTTGATTCCCCTGCATTACGCCAGTATACGGTCCGGTTATGTGGACGTAAAAATAATGTATGTTTATATTTTTGTTGGCCTTACTTTAGGAGATTTGCGTCATGGAGGGTATAATTGGCTTAATTTGTAAATTAATTATACAATTTCCTCCTTTACGGTAACGATTACTTTTGTCAATTAAAACAATGCCCGTATTTGTTTTTCTCATATTTCAAACATCAGTTACAAAATATTGGCTGCTCACAAGATTTTAATCCTGCGAAAGTTTAAATTCATTATTAAATGTGGTTTTCGATGTATTTGAGTTTTTAATTAATCTCTGATGAAACTCTATGTTAATAGTGATGAACATTGGTAGATATGCTTTAATCAAAAACCGACTGCTTGTTATGTTCACCAGTTAATCCATGATTTTTTAGTTATTAATTCTTGAGGTACCTAATGGGATTCATTTTGCTTCTTTTTGATTTCGCATGCCAACAGTGTAGACATGTTGATAGCTAGCACTCGTTCCTAAATACCATAAGACATAATAAAAATCCTACTAATCTGGTGTTCTATATATTATACTAGCTTTCGCCAGCGGCTTCGCCCGCGTGGTCCCTAGGGAAATGTTTAGTGAGATAAAAAGTATCCTATTATCTAAATCAGCTAATACCCTATCTGTATACCAAATTTCATCAAAATCCGTTTAGTAGTTAAGGCGTGATTGACGGAAAAACATCCAAACAGAGAAACTTTCACATTTATAATATCAATAGGATTAAATATTAAAGAACATCCCATACATTGCTCAGATTCCAAGATGAGTAGCTGAAGCCCCCGTATTATAGAGTATCTGAGACAACGAAGGTACCACAACAACCAGACCCGAGACAATATAGAAAGTACATTTTCTACATTGATCTGACCGGGAATCGAACCCGGACCTCAGAGGTGGCGGCACCTTGAAACCGGGTGCGAACGACTCGGCTACGGAAGTCGTCATTCTATGTCGCTACACTCTTGGTGGTGCTCCTTATCATTATCAGGGATGGTAGCACGCCAAACAATCCTTCACCATTCCTCCCTCACTGCTGCCTT